GGGGGTATGGGGGGAATATGGGGGTATGGGGGGAATATGGGGTGGAAATCTTTGGGGGTTATGGTGGTTTTGTTTGCTTTCTTTCTTTATTTATTTACTTTCCTGCGGGGTGCTGACCACCTGCCGAGTGGCAGGCGCTGACAGGCCAACCCATCGGTGGATCGGCTGACGAGTTGGGGGGCGCCGACCATTGGCTGTGCAACACTGGTTCACAGGTCGGTCAGGTGATGACAGGTAGCCCGGCCCCTTGCTGAAATCAGTTTTTTGGGGCAAGTTTTCACTTTTTTGCTAGGCTACCAGAGTGGCCTGGGACCACTTGCCCGGCCGGGCCAAAAAAGAAAAAAGAATAAAAAATAAAAATAAAATTTGATTTTTTTATTTTTTATTATTATTATTTTTTTAATTTGGTAAAGAATTTCGGTGTGACCCGGAGGCAAAAGTTGTTCAGCTTGCTTTTCTGCATAACATAGTTTTTTTCGGTTTTTTTTTTTGTTCAATTACTGGGACCTTCCCTGGTCCTTGCACGGCCGGACCCCCCGGGAAAACAAGGTGACCCGGGCGGCCCGGCTGGTAGCCTAGTGTGAGGATTGAGCCCTCATTGGGGCCTTGCCGACATGCATATGTTCTGGGCTAAGGCCCCCAGCAAGCCTCGTGCCCGCCCTAAGTGAAGGCGGGCCAGAATATCCACGAGAGGCCTTTCTTTCAGCATTTCGCGAAGTGGGTATCAGACAGTTGCAGCACGCGAGTTGGTTGGAGTGCATCGTGAAGCCCAGACTCCTGCAGAAGCAGTTGATCCCAGGGCCTTAGTTGGTTGAGCCCTGGGCACAAGCCAGGGGAGACTGACACATCACACATTGGACGCTGGCCAATCGAAAAGCAGCGTTGTCGTCGTAGAGGCTGAGCGTGCCAATGGGAAACTGGCCCGCTATCTGAATCTGGACATCGGCCCTGGGCTGATGGGCGCAACTGTAAAGTCTGGGCCCCATCTGCATTGGGCCTGGACACAGATAACGGGGCCCAGTCACAGGCTAGAGTGAGCCGCACACGCGCCTACCACGACATATAGGCAGTCTGGGCGCAGGGGAAGGGATCTTGGCCGGTGTGGCATTGTCGGCGCGCTGCTGCATTGTGTAGCGAGCGCGTGCATGCTGCGCTAGGTGGTCAAGCGCGCTAGCGGGCGCAGAGGTGTGGGGCGCTGCAGGGCAGTGAGCGCTGGCAGCCATAGCCGGGCTGCTGGGCACAGTGAGAGGTAGGGAGGCGAAGGTGGTCTTCGGGAAGGAGGCACGAGAGTGGGGAGACGGGATAGGAGTGGGGAGCAACAGAGGTACTTACCTGGCGTGCAGAGAGGAGGTCGGCATTGGTGTTGGCGTCAAGCACGCTGGTCTTCAAGTCGTCTGGTTGTGATCATGCTGTAGTTGTAGCTGTAGGGAGTAGTATAGGTAGGGCGCCAGCGCCGTTCAGAGAGAGCTACATTGGGTTCTGTTGTTGGTGTGGCCCTACGGGCTGGGACATTGACCTCACGATTGTGCTGTATCGTTCTCATATGAATGGTTTCTTGGTTCCAATGTGCCATCTGCTCTTTGTTTGACTACTTGGACTTCAGCGTGATTTGCAATTTGGATTTCTGTACTTCGCTCACATTCATGTTCCTTGCACTAGCCTTTTTGTTATTTTTTTATATTTTGACTGTTGGAATTGTGTCGGGTGGCCATTTCTCAATGTTCTGAAGTGTTTTTGTCCATTTGGATTGTCTGTGGTGACCATTTCCAAAAAATGCTGAAAATTCTGAAAATTCTCTGAATGCAAATCTTCATTGAAGTGCACTTTTGCCTCACCGTTTCACCCTTCTTTTTTTTTTTTGGTGGTTTGTGAATATGGTGTGCACACTATGGAATGATGCAAGTTTTGGTTAAAAGGACCTTCGGGCGGGTTTTCTTATAAATGGCATCCAAAAAACGCTGAAATGTTAGGTCTCCATTAACCACCGCTCTTTTTTGGGTATCTTCATACTAGCATGAGGATGAGCCTACTGTTTTTTTCTTTTTCTTTTTTGTCATTAAAGTGTATGTGGGGGGTCAACTAGCTGTAAAAGCCTATACAAGGTAAAGAACATAAGACGTGGGAAGGAATTTGCCTATAATGGGGGGAAAGAGGAACAGGGCTGATGCTCTAGTCCATCATTATGTTTTAAACCACCACTACCTTTCACAGCTGTTAGTCCCACATGGGAAGTGACATTGAACCCCATTTTTTGGAGGGCCCGTGGAGGCTCGGCAGGAAAGGGGAAAAAAAAAAAAAAAAAAGTTTGGGACCCTGTGGGCCCTCGGTAAGAAGTACTAAGAACGAAAAAAAAAGCGTAACAACTTCGAACCCAGCGATGTTGGGGAAGGCTCGAACGGAGGTGCAAGTCACACGAGCACTTTGAGGAATGAATCTGCTTGCTATGTGTGATTCACTGTGGAGCATGATTGTTTTTGTTTTGTTTTTTTTCCCCTGCTTTTCAATTTCCGTGTAATGCCCGGCCAGCGTCTTGAGGGCGCATTCCATGGACTGCTGAAACTGAGACACTGAGGGCATAGTCACACTACGACTAATGACAATGTATCTGCCCACTTTCACGTCCAAAGCTGTGATTCATTGTCTTCTTTTTTCTTCTTGCCTGAAGCTTCTGGGCGCCGCTGTAATGCCCTCACTGAGGGCATAGTCACACACGTACTTCAGAGATTGTATCAGTCGGACTGCTTTCACGTCCCACATAATTTTTTTATTTTTTTTATTTTTTTTTTTCCCTCTTGTTCGTTTTTGAATGAAACTGCCGGGCTCAAGAGTACCACAAAAGAACATACAACGGGACCCAGTCACGGCAAAACTCAGCGCACTCTGAAATTCAGGAACAGGGTCGGAGGGAGGGGGAGGGGCTGTTTAAATTTTGATGTGGATTTTTCTACTCTAGGGAGTCTAGTGCATTATATCCTAGTGAGGCAAGGTGCGAGGGCGGAAAGGGGAAGACGAGTATGGTCGCAAGAATGAATGAGTCGAGAAAGAGAGGTCCATAGAGAAAGGGGTTGGTTATCTTCGGTGTGGGTGTACCTGGAAGCTAATCCTTCTCCACAGGAGCAATCAATGCGGACATACTTTCTCTGGCTGTAACAAGGGGAAGTGTTGGGTGGTATATAATTATGTTGACTTGCAATGCAAATTTTTTTTTTTTTTTTTTTTTTTTTTTTTTTTTGATGTATGCGTGCTCATAACGTTCAGATTTCTAGAGACACTTGACCTGTCTGGTTTGCTTTTCTTTTCCCTGACTAGTGTGGTCCCTGGCTTGTCTGAGCCTGGCCGATGGTGTCTCGTTCTCCTGAGGAACCGCACAACATTTGCGAGGGATACCAGGCCCGTTTCCTGGCTTGTATAAAAGACGCTGTTTTGGGAGAAAAGAAAAAGAAAAATGGTTATTCAGCTAGGGTGAAATCCCAAGCGCCCGGGCCCCAGTGCCCCACCTGGGAAGGAGCCCGGGTGCCCGGCCACGCATGACGCGCGGGCGGAGTCCTAGGCGCTTTCAGTGCCAACCAGAAACAAAAAACTATCGACCTTTTTTCGAGCGTGGGAGATGGTGGGGGCTCTATGGGGCCTCCAGACCCCGAAAAAGAAATTGCGCAGAGGCCCTACAAGCCCTACGCTTGGAAAAGAAAAGGGTGATTTCAGGCCCTCGGTCTACACGATCGAGAGCCCAAAATCGCCCTTTTTTTTGCACTGTGCCCATACGATTTTGCATGGGCATTCGACGTTGAATACTGACGTGAAATCGCGTAGGCAGTGGGCACACTTCATCGAACCCCCCATCAGAAGTGGCCAGCGACGTTGCCACCCACTCTGCGCCCTCTGCCCCTTGACGCCCGCTCGCTATCGCCCAAGGTAAGTCCATGTCTTCTTCTTCTTCTTCTCCTTCATGTGTGTGTGTGTGTGTGTGTGTGTGTGTGTGTGTGTG